AGTTTAGTGCCATTTTAGTGACTAACTCGTGACAGTGGGGTCATTTTAGTTTTTAATAGAGGGGCCAGACTTTTGACCAGCAAAAATAAGTAACTTAAGGAAAAAACCGATCGCTTCGCTCGCAAGCACATATTAATATATTATATTCCTTTTCCTTCGCACTACCCACACAATATACATACCAACTTTCATATACGTCCCCGCATGCATATATTCCAACTATTAATTAGTAATTACCAATTTATAAGTGTGACAATAACTTCTTATAATATGATGTAATACACAATGTAATATTTTATCAAAATTTTATCAAAGTAAATATGTTTGAGCTAATGAAATATAATAATGGTTAAAGGAAAACGACCGAGCACCGGTCTATCATCTAACTGCTTTCAAAATCTGACAGGGGCAAACCTTACCTCCCCCAAAATAATGCCATTGACTCGTGACCGAAAGCGTGTAGTTATTTTAACTTGGCCAGAGGGTGATCAGTTAAAATAATAAATACTCATAAAATATACAGAGAGCTGGGAGAGTCGTGGGACCCTATATATACTTATAATTACCGTAGCCAGGGGCAGATAGATTGTATAATAGGACCTTAAATGTATATTTAAATAACCAGGACTTAATTTCGGTTATGGTTAGGTTTTATTACCTACTAAATACTAACAAATAATAATACTTGTATAAAGTACATATATTTATAAATATACCTATGTAAATTGAGTCATACACATTATACACATCATAGGTAGCTACGGTATCGTAGTCACACGGAGTTCGGTATAATATGAAACTTTTTGATGACGTCTTCGATGGTTAAGTCTTTATATGTACAGTGAACTAATATTCACACCAAGTCTTGCATATAGTATGTATTGGCGATAGTCCTTATATACAGAGTACAGACTACATGCAGTATAATTGAGTGTGAATATATTATTATTGTCTCGGTCAGCAGCGCATTATATATTGTGCCTGACGAGTTGACGACTGTACTATAATATGACGGTGTAAAATTGATATAATATTAAATATATACACAGCCACATATAGGTATCGTGCAACATAATTGTTACAGTATGTAATCTCCAGTAATCTCACGCGTACATACGTATACAGGGTATATAAAATACTGCACGGGGAGATAATTTTTTTGTGTTCCAACTATACGTTCCCATAGACATATTGGATCATTCGGTGGCACTGCAAGCCTATACAATATATATATATATATATATATACATATGTATTATAGTATATACAAGCGTGTATAAATTAAGCGCGTATACGATGCTAAATAAAACAAATACAAATCGCTCGCACCGATAATAATTTATATACACATATATATATATATGTGTCCTATAGGTATGCAAAGTAGTGTTGTCTGAGTCAGTGCAATTTTTTTTTTTTTTTTTTTGTCGCAGGAGCAATCTCTGTTTTAATTTTTTTGGAATCTTGCGCGTGCACGCTCGATAGTCGACATATTATAAATCTTCCACCGTCGAAAACTCTCATGCATATTTCACAGTGTTCAAGGTACCTGCGCAGTGTGCGCTCATCTTAAGATTATTATTATGTTGTTAGGTCCCCTAGGCTGCAGTGGCGCTTTATGAAATAATGAATAAGATAAGCCATATATTTTACCATACATATTTTTAATCCTTTTTATAACGATACGCAACTGGAGTACGGTTTGGACTCCCAAAAGTACTTTGGGGCACTTATACATATTAATTGTGATGTGTCCTTTTCTAGCACAATATATGTTCATATGTTGGAACGTGTATCCCAAGGGCAGGTACAAAAAAAACATTATAACATTCGATAAAAAGATTAATTAAAATAAAACACCAATAAATCCTTTTATACAACATAGGTTATTGTTTAATGAGTTAAATATTGTGAAACCTTTGTTCACATGGTCACCCATTGATATAGCCCGACACTATTCTTAATTTACCGGCATAAAATATTGATTCATGAGAATATATAACCACTACGCTAAAAGAGTACACATTTCAAAATTCCTATATATTATAGTGTCCGCTATAGAGAGGTTTCATACTGTAATTCTATTTGTCTGTTTACAGATTATACACATAATATAGTATGTCTTCTACATAATATATAACAATTATTAAATCTATGTCGAACGACATACGCTGCATCGTGATTTACAATACTCGTTCGGCAGTATAATAAAATTATTCGATAGGGATGTACGTCATGTATACGTCATCAGCTCTGTGCGATTTTGGGTCGCGTACTGAGTGTTTCATCTGTTCAAGTTGAAAAACAATCTTATCAGAACAATTTCCAAACAATAATAACGTAATACCATGTGAAATCAAAATACTATACTAGTAGATACTAAAAGACTTTAGGGGGCCCGAGGGACGGCCGCTCTTTGTTTCGTCTTTAATTATTATGTTCGGACCAGCGATGCGCCTATTGAGACTTCCCGAGTTTCCAACAAAACGAGACGGCGACCGATTATAATAATATATCATGTAAATGTGAGCACACACGCACAATTTGCATTATACATGCCTATAGGTGCACATATTTAATCGATATCGGCATCGCGGATTATAATATCGATGCACGGGCTCGCTCATTCAATATGCTATAGTATTATAACATGGATACTCACTGCATAATATTATATCGTGTACAATAGTATAGTGCCGATCGGTTCACACGCCGCGCCGACCTGTTGCACTCGTATACTTACACGGTCTATATTATACGGGGTTCTGTAGTAGCTCGTAGGTGGGTAGTTACGATTAAAAATATTATACGCAATAACAATAACGAGATATTATAATATATTATATATTGTGTACTCGTTATTATTATACAGCGGCATATTTATATTACCGGTGCCGTTGTATCTGTGCCGCGGCAGTACCGTTTACAGGACTCGAGTCCTCCGAAGACGACGATTTGCATTAACGTTTCCAATTACGCGCGCGCGCACACCCGGTCGTCGGCCGATTATTATAATATGTAATATATATAAATTATAAATTATATATTAAGTAGGTTAGCGTCTGCGCGTTGAAATTACACACGTACCTATATATACGATGTACGAACACGTCCAGGACGCCGCGTTAACGTGCGTGCTGTAAATATCACGTGTGAGCATAATATAAAATAGCGATAGTACATATTCGTTTATACATATATATATATATGTGGGCAATAATGGCATGGCAGCCGAGCGGTGTACGTAGGTATGGGTACCTATATACATAATATGGATATTATACCTAATGCACGGGTAGGTGCCGTGCGATTTCAATTATATTATATTATTATTATTATTATTATTATACACGAATAAAATATAAAAGGAAACGTTGTGCAGCCAGGGTACGTTGTATCATTATAATATTTAATTTATTATATAATAACGATAATTATAACACTGCAAATATTATTATTATGTTGCGTACCTACCGGCTACCACCTATACCTATATATCATGTATAATACATAGGTGTGTGCGTTTACATGACACGAAAGGCGCGTGTTTCTCGTTTTTTTCTTTCTTTCATTCTCCCCTTTTGTTTTTACTCCAAAACTCTTTTGCGCGAAACACTGCCTGTCGCGTCTCCATCCCGGAACACGCGGCAGTTCGTGTTGCAGTGCAAAACGATAAGGATAATAATACGACTTATCATAAATTGCACTTCCTGCCGTGCGCACAAAATATTGAATGTCGTTATTCGTGTCGGCCCATGTAATTATAATGTAATACGAACATGGCTCTTATTATTAGTGCCAATTATACCTGCAAGTATTAGAATAAGTAGGTAGGTGCCTGTTGTAAACCAACTCAATATCAAACACACTTCGTCTAAAAGCGAGTGCCGACGAGAATCTGACGTTTAAGCATCACGTCGCATAAAAAAAATCACGATTGTCCTGGGCGACCATCTTTATATTCCGTACCCGATCACCTTAATGCACTGTTTCAAACTTCATAGTTCTTATGGGTACTATTAAATATTTTGGGAAATCGATCATGGATTGTACGATCACTATTTCACATGTATATATTTGGATATTTTCGGGACAATTTTAATCGTTTCGACCAATTGGTGGTACATTATTTACTGCAGTATTTAGGTATAGTTGGAATTTACAAAAACCATATTTTATCATTAAACCCTCGATGAATGTTTTCGTGCACGGTTATGATGATACGAAAACACTGTGACCCTATGATAATACTATATACTAAGCGATAACGAAGGCCGCACTGCTAGCTGGTTGCAAACAACGGTCAAGCATCACTGCCGACCAGTTCTGCAGCAGCGGATCACAGCATCTGACACAATAAGCCCTTGTTTGTGGCGCAATTATGATGGTTCGATTAAAATGCTGCAAATGTTTTGTTCACACTGACAGTTCTAAAGAGATACACACCTACCTGTATAGCTATAACTGTAAAAATACGTAAATTGAGCAGAAGAGCTTCTTTATGGTTTCATAAAATTTCGTTATACTGTACAGATAATAAACAATTGGTTATAATTAAAATTTTGTGTATATGAAATCTGGTCGTGCTTTTATAATGACGTTATTAATTCTTTCTCTAAATTATTTTTTCTCAATCAAATATGAATAATAATTAATATATTAATCATTATAAAAATTCAAATTTATTCTTATACCACGAGAATTACAATTTTATCACACCCTGCCCCCCCAAAAAAAAAATGATTTTTCTACAAAATCTCCGAGTATTACTGCGATGACATTAAACCGTATAGGTTATGCTTATGAGTGTTCTAAAATCTAATAAGTCCATGCCGTCAATACCTACTGTTAAATACTTTTCAGCGAGGTCACCAAAAGCCGGCCAGTTTTTTCGTATAGATATAATGTATAATAATAAATGCTACTGTCATGATGTGCCCATATACATCTATGCCTTCGATCGAACAATCATTGACGATCGTTTCCATTGGTCTGTACAGGTGACGGATCCGGAGGCGTCGACGGTTGCAAAGACGACATGGAAAGCGTGGGCAGCGGCAGCGGTTCCGAGCAACCAAAGTTCAGACGTAACCGGACCACGTTCAGCCCGGACCAACTCGACGAACTGGAAAAGGAGTTCGACAAGAGTCACTACCCGTGCGTGAGCACTCGCGAACGGCTGGCTGCCAAGACCAGTCTGTCCGAAGCCAGGGTCCAAGTAAGTCGACTCGCAGTTATTAATTTATGATACTGCGTACCTACTTATATACCTGTCCATATAATTACACGTAAACTCACCCATATGGATGCGGGTATGCACATATATAGGGTGATTCACCAAGTATATCTCCTGTTCGCACCGTTTTTTTTTTTTTTTTTGGTGCGGTCTTAGTAAATCACACTGCACATATATTTTACACTTTGGAATACCGAATTATAACTATGCATATATAATTTCCACATAATTCGAACTACAGCTAAGTACGTCATAACCGCAAGGCCGTGAACTATTAATACATTTGCGTGTTTTTTTTTTTTTTGTTATTTCGTCATATTATATGAACTCGGTCCTAACAACTGAGTTCAGTCGAAATTTGTTTCGCGTAACTCCTTCAACGCGTGTGCAAATTAGCATTTTGCATATTTTTGCATATTTTAAGCTTTGAGCGCATATAGGTACACTATACCGATTGCATATTTTGCTAATTTAAATAATTGATTGTTTTTATTTTATTTTTAACAATCCAGCAGTCGTGATTAGCCTCTGGGTTTAAAAAAAAAAA